GGTCATCGATCCTCCCAACAAGCCGAAGGGAAATCAGGGATGATTTTCTGCTGCTTCATAACTCAGTAAACAGATGGAGTAATGACCGGAGCGGAACCGGACCGCAGCGTGACACCGCCTATTGATTTCTGCAGGTCTGTGTGAGGCGGGTGGTCCTGTTGGACCCCCCCACCCCCCCGAGGCCCGCCGGACCGCTCCGTACGGCTCCACCGGGGTCGTCCGTCATCATAAACTGAGGAGGAACATCATGTTGCAGCGGTTTTTAACGGTTTGACAAAGTGCCGGAGAGAATTTGTGTCGTTTCGTCTGCGACGGTCCAGTGTTCTGGTGTCGGCTCGTAAATCTGCTGAAGGACAGAAAAACTTTACGGCTGTTTGGAAAATAAAGTTTACAGCTTTGATCCACCTCTGAGCAACAAATAAACCTCATCATGAAGAAAAAACACTAAAATAAATAAAAAAGTTCTGGTTTGAGGTCGGTGTTCAGTGCAGCTGCCAGGCTGATTGGACTGTCTGCTCCTGTGAACTGTGACACTTTTACCTTAGTGTCCCTCTGTCTGCTGCTGACTTCATTCAGACCAGATCCAGAGCTGAGCTCTTAAATCTGCCCGGCAACACAGAAGTGAGATCACACCTCCAGCTGACTTCCTGCCGGCCCCGGCTCGGCTCGGCTCGGCTCGGCTCGGCTCGGCCCGGCTCGGCTCGGCTCGGCTCGGCTCCGGAGGAGGAGAGGCAGAAGATTTTAACACAACCTACAACAGAAATTTATTTTAAAAACACTTCATGACACAAATATTCACTGACAACTACAAGTTTCATGGTTTCCATTAGCTTTATTTCATTTTTAACTGAGCATCAATAACAAACACTAGCTGGGCTCTACCTGGTATTTCCTGCACAGAAACAGTGTTTTAACATGTTCTCTTATAAACACTGAACTAAATGTGAAATAAGAAAAACAAACATTATTATAAGTCAAAGAGTTTCACTCCCTGTTGAGGTGTTCTCAGTAGCTGCCATCTTGAATTCTGGACTCTCCCACCTTCCAACAAGGAATTCCCACTGAAGGGGGTGTTCCTGTTTAAATTTGCAACTTATAAGTGGGAAATTCCCACTTACTACAACTGGACTGCAACAAAAGAAGCACAACTAATTTCGCTACCTTTTTTTTACTTTCAAATCCTGTGTAGCTCCACCTGGTGGTGGGATGCTGTCATTTTGTGAGTAAAGTAATCAGGATGCATTATGGGAAATGTAGTTTATGATCAACGCTGGCGTTAAAGCAGATTATTCTGCCTTTCATTTGTCCGGGCAGGCCTGGAGTTTTCCACTTCCAAGTTGGAGAAATGAACTAGAACGGCCACCTAATGTCGTAATTTAAAGTCGGGAATTCGGTGCAGGACGAGCAGCCCGTGTGATGTCATCAATTCAACATGGCTGCTCCTCACATCAGAGTGAAACTTTTATGGTTTTTAGCAGTTCTCAGTTGTTTACATTATGTCAGACGTACTTGTAGTACTTTATTGTAATTATTAAGAGATTATTAAAAGATACTGTATGTTTTACGTTGTTTGTAAACTCAAAATGTGGTGTACAGAACTTTTGTTGTGTTCTTGTTGCAGAACAAAAAATAAAAGCACTCTTTTTTCGGTATTCTGACAAGTTGGAAACTGGAATGATTTCAAGTCAAAACTGACGTCAGTGCAGCTTTACACGTAGAACGCAGCTTTATTTTAAGACTTTAATACGTCTTTGAAGTTCTCGTGGGCCACAAAAAATGCCATGCTGGGCCACATTTGGCCCATGGGCCTTCAGTTTAATACATACAGAAATGCACCCACCTCCTCTTTATGCCAGAATTGAACTGAGATCAAATAATGAGAAGTTTAAAAGCTTAAAAATAAAAGGCACAACATGACGTGAAGGCCTCTCGGCTGCTTCCAGGCCTGTTTTAGCTGTTTTAGCTGTTTTCAGCGCGTCATGAGATATTATGCTAACAGACAGATTTTCCTTGTTCGTCTGCTTGTCGTTTCAGTCCACCCTTCCAAGAAGAACCGTCAGACGTGTGTGAGGAAGAGCCTCATCTGTGCTTTCGCCATGGCCTTCATCATCAGCGTCATGCTCATCGCAGCCAATCAGATGCTGAGGAACGGCATGGAGTAGCGGGACCACCGTCAGCCGCATGCTGCATGCCGGTGGGCGTGGCCACGTCTCTGTAGATAGAACCAAAACTACCCGGAGTGACATCAGCACCCGTTTTTTTTTYCTATATTTGACTTGAACGAGGAGCGCGTCTCCACCTGACGTCTAAATCAATAAAACCACGAAGCCAGCAGCAGGAGTCGTGCGGGACTCCGCCCCCTTTACTCCCACAGGGACTCGTGCGGGACTCCGCCCCCTTTACTCCCACAGGGACTCGTGCGGGACTCCGCCCCCTNCCTTTACTCCCACAGGGACTCGTGCGGGACTCCGCCCCCTTTACTCCCACAGGGACTCGTGCGGGACTCCGCCCCCTTTACTCCCACAGGGACTCTCAAGGGCTGACATCACATCCAACTCACCGTCGTCTCCGTTTCCCTGATGCAATAAAAATATGTTTTGTTTAAAGGAGAAGTGCAGGAGTTCAGCAGCCCCACGAGGAGCCTGAGGGACGAGCGGAGCAACAAGCAGAAACACTGAAGCACAAGGATCTGCTCACCTGAGTCTGAGGCCAGGTGAGCCTGAGGAGGAAACTTCAGCTCATCTGAAGCTCGTTTCAGCAGGAGAACGCAGGAAGTCGTTTTCTTACTGCTTCCTGTTTGTCCCATCAAAACCTGAGTTGAGAAAATATAAATAAAACCAAAATGCGGTTTGTAATGACATCAACCCATATTTTAGTCACAATAGAAAGCATTAAATGCAAAAAAAAAGGTATAAAAAAGTCAAATTTCTTTTTCAAAATATTTCATGTTCCACTGCGACTAAAACCTGGGTTTATAAGGTTTATAAATCTGGTTTTATTCACCTTTTAAACAACAAACCAGCTTTTTCACAATGACTTGTCTGTGGTGATTCAGCTGCAGCTCGTTAAACATTGTTAAACTCAGATTGGACTTTTTATTTCAGATGATCTCATAAAATAATAAGCTGATAATTACAGATTTGGACAGATTTTCACAAGTGGAGCTCAGAACGTGTCCGCACAAAACGAGCTAAAGATCAAACATCTCTGGAAGACCTCATTCTGTAACAACAACACAAAATAATGTAATAAAACCAGGCTTCAACATGTAATAAACTCACGCTGAAACATGTAATAACTGACACAAAATGTAATAAGTCTTCAACGCATTTTGTAATAACGTTATTACATTTTGTGGCAGTTATTACATAAAGCAGTTTTAGCGAGTTTATTACATTATTACAGAACGTGTTGTTTTTACAATCTCACACTGAAAGTTTTAGGTTTATAGAAGAGCTTGTAAAAAGCCGCCTGCCTCAGCTGAACAGTTAAAATTATTGTTTTGTTGCTTGTGAGAATTGTTGCAGCTGGAATCTCATGTTGGCCACTTGTTGCAGAAAATACTGAGAAAATGAGCGACTTTTGAACAAAGTTGTTGTAAAATCTTGTCCCTCATACGGAGGAACAAAACTGACAATTGGAAATAAAATCAGAAATATATAAATGGACAATAAATAAATAAATAAATACACTTAAATTAACAAATTAAACAAAAAAAGGAGAACGTTACCTTATGTTTTATCATTTAATTCACCTTCATATTTATTTTTTTCAGTTTAGTTCCAATAAATTATATATTTTAGAACATAATTTACATTTTACTGTTAAGAAAATATTTGTTTTTCTTTTTTACTTTGTTTTAAACTGAACTTTAAACCGAGGCAGCAGCAGAGTAGATCTGCACATGGATCCTGCTCCTTCCTGTCTGTTGACCAATAGAAGAGGAGCTGACCCAAGAAGCTCCACCCACCTTATTTGCATAATGAGGCAGAAATGCATTAGGTGGAGTAAAAACAGGAGACAGAGAAATGTAAAAACACATGGAAATAAAAAGACTTGTGTGAAAAATTATAAAAAAGATTTTTAAATTTTTACATTGAAGAGACATAATGCATCTACAAGTAAAAGTAAATTTTTAAATATATTTTAAAAACAGTAAAATGTAAATTATGTTCTAAAATATATAATTTATTAGAACTAAGCTGGAAAAATAAATATGAAGGTGAATTAAATTAAATGAAAAACATGAGGTAAAGTTATTTTTTAATTTAATTGGTGCATTTTGTGTATTTATTTATTTATTTATTTATTTATCGGTCCGTTTGTATATTTCTGATTTTATTTCTAATTATGACAGTGTCGGTCCTCCGTAGCCTCAGTGTTGTCCGGCTCTGAGCTCCTGCACCTCCTCCGGTCTGAACAAACCTGTGCATGTGATGGAGTCTGTAAATACTGTAACCCACGTGTCCGTCCGTGTGCATGRCTGTCGGGGGGTCAGAGGTCACCTGGGTGGACGTTCAGAGTCTGAACCCTTGTTTTAAAGCCATAGATCTCTGCAGGGCTGAAGCAGCTTTGTGATTTAATCCTTTACTTGTTTTCTCTAAAAGAAATACTGAAAGGATGAAGAGCTGGGTTTGTCGTCTCTGTTTTTGCACTAAATGTTTCCCACTCAGATGAGAGGAAAGGTTGTGTAACAGCGCCACCTACAGGTCAGAGATGTGTTTGATTCTTCACTCTGATCACAGAGAAACGTGATGAATCATGTTTATATATGAGATAAATTATAACAGAGCAGATGTGTGTGAATACTTTCTAAAGGATAAAACGTTTTATTTGCAGTGGATTGTGAAAGTATTCACCTCTGGGTGTTTTTTTCTGTTTTATTTCTTCAGGAACTGGAATGAAAATGGATTTAATGTGATTAAATACAAATAATTATCTAAAAATACTACAGATTAATAAATTAAACATGAAGAAACAAAGTTTTTGTGGCTAAAAATATGTTTTTAATAATTTAAAACATTTAAAGTTTTAACTTACTAATCTGAAGCATTTCTTATAGAAATATAAACAAATGAAAAATCTGCAGGTCCATTAAAGATAGAGGGATGAATATTTTTACAACAAACTGCAGAAATGACTGAAGTCACAGTGAAGACGGAGCGTCTCAGAAACATAAACCCAGCTGCTGTGATGCAAACTTTAAATTATTGAAAAGCTTTTTATTCCTCATGTTTCGGTGAGTTTTTTGTCTCTGCATGTCACTGACGTCCAGCGTCTCTTCAGTAGCATCATATTATCACCTGTTTTTTGTGTAAAGCTAAGAGTATCTAAAGGACGAGCACATATTTACAGCTGCACGTGCAATATTTAAACCTAGAGAATGACTTTCTGTTCTGTTTATTAGAGGCATAATAATTATATTATTGTAAATAAGAAAATCTGTATAAAATCTGAACAAACTGTTGCAATAAAAAGAAATGTTTTCCTAAAGTGCACTTCCTGTTTTTGTCTCTTAAAGTGAATCTGATGCAAACTTTGCACCATTTTTTAAAATCCAGCCGATAGAAATTAAAAACACTTGGAGAAAAAAACTATTTGAAATATTTTTATTATGAAAATAATGTTTTACTGGGTTTTCCTGTTTCATGGTAGGACACAGGACGATGACAGATGGACTATTTGACATGAAACTGATTAAATGAGAACAGCTCCACAGTTTCTGTGCACTTTCCACGGGTACAGGTAAAGTTATTAACACACCTGAGTGTGACCTCTCTGGGTCAAACTGGGGTAAAAATCACGCAGAATCTGTTAAATCCAAAATCTTGACTCTGTAATACAACAAGAGACCACCAGGGGGAGACATTACCTGCTTTAACTCTGGAGGAGTTGGTCCTTAGTGTCCTCCATCTTTAAAGTGACCC